CAGGAGCGCCACCGCGCTCCCAAGCAGCGCACTGTAGCAGTGCGCCACCGGGCCGGCCCTACATGCAGTTTTATTAACAAGAAATGTTTTCTCATACTCTGTCATTGTTGATGCTGCTCCCTCTTTCTGGAAAGCCTATTCCCTGACTCACTCAACCAGATGACAAATATTAATTCATCCTATTGAGACTATTCTTGCTGAGGTCCTCTGTCTTCTAATTTATTGTCAAATCCAAAAACATTTTCATTCTTTCTCCTAATTTTCTTTGGTGGCATTTAACACTCTTGTCTACATTCTTGAAAACCTTTCATTTACTTACTGGAGGGCTACTCTCTTGTGACCAGTCTAAGGCTCACAATTCATTCTAAGGTTTCTTTGAAGACCCCACTTTCTTTGCCCCTCTTTTCTGTCAGTGTTTCCCAAGGTTCTGTCCTTAGCTTTCTCCTCATGCTTCACCCAGTCTCTTCAGGGCTGGTCATTCGTGACCATGGCTCCAAACACATGTAGTCAACTACAAAATATATAGTTAACTCCCAAATCTCCAGCTCGGATCTGTCCCCTGAAATTCAGACTCATATATCCAATTGCCTCCTAGATCTCTGTATCTCTAATTTGTCCCACAGATATCTTATCCTAAACAGATCTTATGTCCTAAACAGATCTTATTTTCCCTCCCAACCCTTTTCTTCTTCCTGTATCCCCCACAATGTCCCCAAAGAATGTTACAAGCTACCAGGTTGTCAAAGTCAGAAACTTGGCTATGATCTTGCATTCCTCACATGTAATTAATTAGTTACTGAGTCTTTTCAATGCTTCATCCTACACGTCTTTTGAACCCATCTTCTCCTTATCATCTCTGTTGCCACTAACTTAGCAATGACTTTGTCTTTAACTTTTAGACCAGGGGTTAGCCAAATATGACCTGTGGGTTAGATCCCGCCTGTTTTTGTAGGGATTGTGAGCTAAGAGTGATTTTACATTTTTAAATGACATTTTAAAATATTTAAAAAGAAAACAATATTTTGTAACATGTAAAAATTATATGACATTAAAATTTCAGTGTCCATAAGTAGAGTTTCATTGAAAAGTCCACTGAATGTCCATAAGTAGAGTTTCCATGTTTATTTGTTTTCATATTGTCTACGACTGTTTTTGTGCTATGGTGGCAGAGTTAAGTAGTTCAACAGAGACTATATGACCTGAAAAGTCTAAAATATTTACTATCTGGTCATTACAGAAGTTTATTGCTCTTTGTTGTATAGCAAACTGGCAAAAACAAACAAACAAGCAAACAAAAAAACCTATATTTTAATTTTTGCAGCTTTTGCTCACCTTTAGACCTGACCAGAACCGTCTTTCTTGGAATTTTGAATGTGGTGATGTTTTGTTTTCTACAGCACTAACACGAAACAAAAGGAAGAGAAAAGAG